GTAATTGATAAGTAAGGATGTACTATTGCCATTTTGTTAAATCTTTTCTCTCTTGTTTTATACACATGTATGCAAACACAACTATATTTATTGATGTGCAAAATGCAGCACAATTAAATGGAAAATCAAGTGAGTTGGAACTTTTTCTAAAAACACGGTCCACATGGAGTTTCTGGGTCTGATCTTTTTAGCCTGTGACATACTCAAAAAAGACAGATTTCCAAATGCCAAAGGGTATATCCCTGGCCACAGTGTGAGCATAGAAAACAAGTTGCACTCAAAATCTCTACATTTCAGCCTCAAGGCTGCCATTGTGTAGAGAACATGTTTAGAAAGGAGTGTTGAGGTATTGGCAAAAGTTAGGTGCTTCAGCACCTAAAAGTATCTTTAAACTTCATTCACTGAAGTAAATGACTTAATGATCAAGAAAAATGAAATTCCCCAGGATTTTAACTATTATCTCCATAATTAAATTATAATGAAAGGCTATAATGTTCCAGTTTTCAAATATGATGTGTGTATTTATTAGTGTTCAATTTTGCTTGGTGTTATATGTCATGCTATGGTTTGAACGTTTGTCCCCTCCAAAACTCATGCTGACATGTAATCCCCCGTGTAGCAACGTTGAAAGGTCAGGCCTTTAAAGGTGGTTGCATAAGGGCTCCAATCTCATGAGTGGATTAATCCATTCATGTATTAGTGGACAACTGGATTAATAGGTTAATGGGTTATCACAGGAGTGGGACTGGTCGCTTTATAATAAGAGAAAGAGAGACCTGAATTAGCATGCTCAGTCCCCTGGCCTGAGATGTCCTACTCTGCCTTGGGACTGTTCAGGGTCCCCATCAAGAAGAAGGTCCTTACCAGAAATACCCCTTCAACCTTAGGCTTCCTGGCCTCCAGAACTGTAAGAAATAAATTCTGTTTCTTAACAGTTGCCCAGATCCACATATTCTTTTATAAGCAACAGAAAATGGACTAAGATGTGGTACAATGTTGAAGTTTACTCCAACTTCATAATCCTGGAAAATAGCAAATGTTAAAGAACTCCATCCTCCAACCCTTTGTTTCCTTAGAAACAGCTTATTGCAAAGAACCACATTTTCCTGGAGGACTTCATTAAGTCCAATGAAAGCCGCCTTGTTTACATAGGAAAAAGCCACATACCAACCCTCCAAAGTCCCATGCCTTGTCTTAAAAGGATTACTGAATTGTTTGTCCCCACTTATCAGTGAGAACCATGGTGGTTATTTTGACTTATTCAACCTTCAGTTAAGCTTCATTCGTTCCTCCAGGTCCCTCAAATTTGGACCACTCTTGGGCACTGTAATATGGAACACCTTCTCCTTAACAGCAC